AGCTCCTTCTTCCCCTTCATCAAGCTAACTCCTACATCAAAGCATTTGCCCTGGCTGTTCCCTGTGGCTTCTTACCAGGCAGGTCTGAGCTCAAATGAGACACCTTCCAAGGGGCCTTCTCGTCCATCCTGTCAGAAGTGGCCAGACTCCCAGCCTGACACTGTCCCGTCCACCAGGCACTTTTATCGCCATCTCTCTCTAAAGTCACTTTACTGGTGCTTTACTTGCTGTCTCCCGGTAAGCTCCCTGAGGCCAAGGGCCTCTGTCTCAGTCATCTTGGTATTCTAAGCACATGCTCTAGGCCTGCACACGATTTAACAAAGACACCTGGGAGTTTTAGTAATTTTCCCTTCTTTGCTGGGGCCATCTTTACTGAGATAGGCCACACTGATCTAGATTGATCTTGATATAATTTATTTATTCAAGATACTAAGACCTGTTTTTGTGTGCTCTTGTCAGGAAATAGAAATATAACAAGGAATTTGAATCAGGAGGCCTGGGTGTGAGTCTTGGCTTCAGCTTGTAGCCTTGGGCAGGTCACTCTAACTCTACTTCCTTATCTGTGAAATGGGCAGAAGGACACAGGTGTTGTCCCCCTCCCCACACACAGAGGACCTGCTGCGGCCTTGTGAGAGCTCTGGAGACTGTGTGCTGTGTGCGTGGGACTTTGCTGTTTGTCTAGTCTTTCACTGACCTCAAGGGATGGCATCTCTTCCTTGTCCTTCAGCAAAGTGGCCCATGGTTTTGCTGGTGGCTCCTCTGGGTCCTGGAACTACATAATCGCGGGGTGAGAAGTGGGAACAATGCCACTCACATCATTCTTCAATTGACCAAGGAGGGACCAGAGAGGGGCAGGGACCTACTCCAGACGTGCCCTGAGCAACCCACTTGGCTTCACTGGGTGGCAGGAGCCACATCTACAGCATGGGGCCATGAAGCCAGACCTGCCTGTGTCTGTCAGCATGGAGTGGGACAAAGCAAGAGAAAGGGTTTATTTAAATGGGTGAGTCAGGGAACCTGCTTCCAAGAAAGAATGAACACACTGAGCTGTGTCCAAGGCTTCTGGATCCCAGGGCCCCTGCTCCAGCCCCACCATTGATCCTCCAACTACAAGCCTCAGGCAGCGGGCACACACAACACCCGGAGAGGCACGAGGCTTCATGACATGAAGTAGGTCATGGGTAGGAAATGGAGTGGCGAGGACTGGGGAGGCTGAAGGGTACATCCTCCTCTGCTCATCCTGGGGAGGAAGATTTTCCCAGAGAAGCCAGAGAGCAGGACTCTGCCATGTTTCTTGCCCATTCTTTTACTGACCCACCCCTTCCCTTTCCCCCTCTCTACCTGCCCCTACCCTCTCTCCCTTCCCCCTTTCTCCTATCCTCTTCCCTTTCCCCCACCATCTCCCTTCTCCCCTCTGTCCCTTCCCCCGACTCTCAGTTCTCAACCTCTCTCCCTTCTACCCACCCTCTTCTTTCTCCCCACTCTCTCTCCCTTCCCCCCCCTTTCCCCTTCCCCACCCTCCCCCTTTCCCCTCCCCCCACCCTTTCCCTTTCCCCCACCCTCTCTTTTTCCACCCCTCTCTCACTTCCCCCTACCCTCTTCCTTCCCTCATCCTCTCCCTTCTCCATTTGCAACTCTGGTGTTGCAACAACAAGAAAAAGGACCCCATTTCTTTTTGGCAGGGACATCAGCCAGGACTGGAGGGACAGGTGTTCAATTTAGGCTCTTTCTGAAGTAAACACAAAACAGAAAGAAGGTGGGAGGAACGGGAACTTTGGCAGGTGAGTGATGCCCCGTCCGTCAGTCCGTCAGTCCGTCATCCGCCTGAGGTGAGTGGAGCCTCCTACCTTTGTCTCTCCTCACCACGTGCTCTTTCAGCAGGGTGGAGAGAACTCCGGTGCTCAGCACCCTTCCCCCGTCTGCCTGAGAACACACCTGTGGCTGGCTGGCAGGAGGCTGGCTGGCAGGACGCTCAGCCTTTCTGCGGAGGAGCGCCCTCTGCAGGGCTTCGTTCTCCACCTGGATGGCTCTGAGTACGGCCGAGGCATCTTCCTCCCGGTCCTCAGCCTTGTGCATGGTTTTTCGGGTTGCTGACAGGGGTCTCTCTCGGCGGCTTCCAGGTCCTGGGGGCAGAAAACAGGAGGATGCTTCTTTAGGTCACATTCTCAGAGTGCAGCCCAAAGACTATTAGACCTAAATTGAGGAACACTCAAGGAAACAACTAGGCTGTACTTTCCAGAAAGATCAAGGCCACAATGATAGACTGGCCACTGGTCCAGATGCGGCAACTGAATGCTCGTGCGATGCTGTATTGGATCCTGGGCTGCAAAGACACCGCCACAGAGAATATTACTGTGACAGATGGAGAAATCTGTGTACAGTCTGCGGCTTATAAATGCTATATAGCCTAAATCTGATCACTGTACTGTGGTCTTTTAAAATAAATGCCCTAGGGACTCTCATACACTGCTGGTGGGACTGTCAAATGATACAACCACTGTGGAAAGTGGTATGGCGATTGCTTAAAAAGCTGGAATTAGAAATACCATTTGACCCAGCAATCCCATTACTAGGTATATATCCTAAAGAAGTGAGAGCCAGGACAAGAACAGATATATGCACACCCATGGTCATCACAGCACTATTTACAATAGCAAAAAGATAGAAAAAACCGAGGTGCCTGTCAACAGAATGGATAACCAAACTGTGGTACGTACACACAATGGAGCACTATGTAACACTAAAGAGTAATGTAGAATCTGCAAAACACTGCATAACGTGGATGAACTTGGAAGACATTATGCTGAGTGAAATTAGTCAATCACAGAAGGACAAATATAGTATTAGTTCATCATTGTAAAAAGTCAAGGAAAGGTTTATATGTGGAAGGAAACTTTCTTTGTTGATCACCAGGGGTAGGAGGGAACACTGCAAAAAAAAAAAAAATGCATTGGCCCATGTCACTTTAGTTTTGTGTATTTCACTGTACAGAAATTATATTTCAATAAAATGTATTTTTTTAAAAAAAATATATTAAATGTCCTAGGAAATGCACACTGCGGTGCTCATGGGTAAAGTGGAATAAGTCTGCAACTTAATCTCAAATGGTTTAAATATTCATCTTCACCCACTCCTCACTTATTGACATGGTTAGGTTCCAAAGAGCAGGCTGTTAGGCGAAAACTGGCATTATGTGGAAATGGAGGATGACCATAGCAGATTACAAAATGGAAGATGACCACATCATTACATAACTGCCAAACCACTGAGAATCATGGCCCAGCTAAGTTGACACCCAACCTTAACCATCACAGTCAGCATTACTCTCACCTAGCACTTTGGCATTCAGTACTGCCTAACGTATGTCATTAATGCACAAAAGAGATGGACAGTAAAGTTTTTATTATTGTCGTAAACGGGAAATGTCAGATAATGAGATATTCCACAAGTGAGGAGTAAGTGCATATGTATGTGTAGACAGACAGAGAATATGATAAAGCAATCACGGCAAAATGCTAACTACTGCTGAATCTAGATGGAAGGTGTGGTAGTTAAGGCTGCTTGTGTGTGTCAACTTGGCTGGGCCTGGTTTTGAGTGACTGGGCAGCTGGATGTAGGTATTCTCCACGGTGAGACTGGCAGTCAGCTCCATGACGGAATCTACTGGTGCAGCTGAGTAGCTGTCTTAGGGATGTGGTCTGCTGCCAGTGTATGGGGAGAAAGGTTGAGAAAGATCTGCAGCGTTTGGCACGCTTGAATCCTGCAGGTAGCCAAATCACTGTTCAGCAGCCTGCCATATTGTCTGCCAATACTAGGACTATTAATAGACTTGAATCAGTGGCCTGATATGTGATTTGATAATATTGGGACTGTGTCATTTTACTTGTTGACCTTGGATTTGTCAGCTTCAGCAGCTGCCTGAGTTAAGAGAAGCCTCCAGCTTCAGTGGTCTGAGGCCAAGAGGCAGAACTGAAGCCCAAGGTCGAGAGCCTACCCAGCCCCTAGAGTCTGACACTTTGAACTCAGACTTCTAGCCTCCAAAACCTTAAGGGAATAAACTCTGGTTTGTTAAAGTCACCCATGTGTGGTATTTTCTGTCAGAGCAGCAAGAAGCAACCAAAACAGAAGGTATATGGAAATTGATTGTACATTAAAACTTTTCTGTAAGTTTGAAATTGTATGAAAATAAAAGTTATAAAAAATAATTCTAACAAAATAAAATTGATTCTTATTATTTGCAGCAGTTACGTTCTATAAAGTCACTGCAAACACTGAGTCAGGAATAGTGAACCACTGCTCCTTAGGGAAATACAAGGTTAGGTTCCTGTGAGCTTCTAGTCACAACATTTTCATCAACTAATCAATACATAGGAGCTCTGGTGCATAATGCCTAAGGCATTTGACTGCTAACCAGAAGGCTGGCAGTTCAAACCCACCAGCCACTCCTTGGAAGGAAGGTTGGGCAATCTACTTCCATAGAGATACCGCCTCAGAAACCCAAGGAGGGGTCGCTATGAGTCAGATCTGACTCAATGGCAGTGAGCTTGGTTGTTTGTTTTAATCAGTACATAACCCTATTTTATTTTCGTTTTTTATCTTCTGTTGGAGACACCTTATTTAACATATATTATTGATTCATTAACATTGAACTCACAGCCAACAGCACTATAATTCACACCTGAGCGAAGCTTATCCAGTACACGTGTTTCCTCCGTAAGGCACATCACAGCCTTCCTGCACTTAAGAACACCAGACAGCACATCAGCACAACACTTGGGGACCATTCTAAACAGCAAAATCACCAATAAAAGTACAAAACTGCAAAAAATATGGCACTACATAGACTGCAAAAAAGGTACTTATTTATAGTACGAGTACTCCAACACTTGTTTACAGGAAAAGCACTGCCCTGTTTGACCTCAGCTGGGAACATGGATGACCAATTTTTCCCAGCTATGCACACATCCATAAATGACTGCAAAAGCACCACGAGTATTGATTTGGGGGTTACAAATAAAGTTTAGTGAGTAGGCCATTTGGCAAATATGGAATTTGTAAATAATGAGGATCACCTGTCCCTATAAGCAATAATATTCAATATTATGGAGTGTATTTGCTTTATTTTGTCTTGTTCTTGCTTGTGTACCAAGTATGGTGAAGCAACTGCATCCCAATTTAAGGAAAAAAAAATGTATTGCAAAGTTACAGTCAATCAGGGAAGTCTCAATGTATAGAAAATGAGTTTGATAAAGTGATAAGCAAAAAGCACCTAAGAAGACTGGTTAAATAAAACAAATTGTGGTACATCCATTCAACGGAGTACTACACAAGTGTAAAAAGCCACAGACATAATAAATAAATAATGTAGACTATTGAAAGGTAGACAGTGTACTTGGAGTCTTTCAGGCAATGCCATTAGGTGGGGAGTGTGTAGTGTATTCACAGAGCAACAACATGAAGGTGGGGTTGGAGCAGGGTGAGCAAGGGTATAGGTTAGAGAAGGTGGAGGGGGGCATTGGAGGCCACTGTAGGACTGTTACTCTACGTAAAATGGTGCACCACTGAAGAAGTTAGAGCAGGGAAGGACTGATCTGACTTAAGTGCTGAGAAAAGAGACTGATGGGAGGTGACGGTGCAATGAGGGACACCACTTAGAGGCTACTGCCATGCTCCAGGTGAGAGGCCATTGCAGCACTGGAGGAGGGATACAGGTTGTGGCCACGTTCTGGAGACACCTGAAGATACAGCTAACAAGATTTCCTGATGGGTAATATGTGGGTGATGGAGAAAAAGAGTTGCTACAAATAACTCCAAGAGTTTTGGCACAAGGAAGCAGATGATGGGGTTGCCCTCATTTGAGCTGGGGAAGGCTGTGGGTGGACCAGGCGTTGAACAGAAATGCAGGAGTTCAGTTTGGACGATTCAAGTTTGAGATGTGATTCTGGCGTCCAAGTGGAGCTGCCAACTAGGCATACACACACAAGTGTGAGTTTGGGAGAGAGGTCAGGAAAATTAAAAAAAAAAAACAAAAAAAAAACCTCACTGCCATTGAGTCAACTCAACTCATAGCAACCCCTCCTTGGGTTTCTGAGGAGGTTATCTCTATGGAAGTAGATTGCCCAATCTTTCCTCTGAGGAGTGGCTGGTGGGTTTGAACCACCAGCCTTCTGGTTAGCAGTCAAGTGCCTTAGGCACTTTGCCACCAGAGCTTCCAGAGGTCACGGATAGAGATATGAATTCAGTAAAGGATATTGCATTGCATTATTTAGCAGTAATATCAAAGACTGACATTAATGGAGGCCTATAATAAACTAATTGGGAATTCACAGGTATAATCTCTCTGAATATATATGACTAATTGAAGAGGAATAGCATTGCATTCATTGTCTAAAAGAACAAGAACTATCCTGAAGTACAATACTGTCAGTGATAGGATAATATCCACATGCCTACAAGGAAAATGAGTAAATACGACTATTATTCAAATTTATACAGCAACCACTAATGCCAAAGATGAAGAAAGTGATTATTTTTACTAACTTTTGCAGTCTGAAATTGATTAAACATACACTCAAGATGCACTGACAATTACTGGAGATTGGAATGCAAAAAGTTAGAAACAAAGAATAGGATCCATACTTAAAAATATGGCCTTTGTCACAGAAACAATGCCAGAAATATCATGACAGAATTTTGCAAGACAAATTCATTGCAACTACCTTTTTTCAAAAACATAAACAACAACTACCCATGTGGATCTTGTCAGACAGAATAAACAGGAACCAAATCAACTACATCTGTGGAAAGAAATGATGGAGAAGCTCTATATTATCAGTTAAAATAAGGCCAGGGTCTGACTGCAGAAGATACCATCAATTGCTCATATACAAGTTCAAGTTGAAGCTGAAGAAGAAAACTGAAATAAGTCCATGGGAGCCAAAGTACTACCTTGAGTGTATGTGTGTGTGTATGTATATGTATATGTGTATGTATATGAGTATATCCCACCTGAATGTAGAGAATATCTCAACAAGTTATTTGATGGACTAATGACTGAAGATAAGAGAAGCTGTAGAATGACATCAAGGACATCACAAAGGAAGAAAGTAAAAGGTCACTAAAA